AGCCGAGCCAGTGGCTCATATGAAGAACAAGATGTGGCCAATGGAATCAACCAGAATGTAGCCCTGGCCATAGCAGGGAATCACTTTAATTTGAAGACCAGCGGAGCAATGCTGACCTCCTTGGTATGTTTGTACGTTTCTTGAGTGTATTTCTTGTTGATGTCGCCTCCTCCTGACTTCTGATAGAACCCAGCGTAGAACAGACATGCTTTCTGCCTCAACACTGTGATGTAGGAATCCGTGAAGCTGACGGCTGAGAAGCGTTCTGGTCAGATAGCTACAGGAACAGCAAGAGATGCATGTAACAGAGTTAGCCAGTCCTGATGTGCCAAGCTTAAAAAACTATCAAAGATGTGAATCTGGGGAGTCTGAAACCATTGTAGAGAAAGTTAAACCAAGGCGTTCATCCTTGCACTGAATGTAGGCTGGGCTCACTCCGTGTGCTCATTAGTATTGTTGTTTGCCTCTAATAAATGACTGAATGGGCCAGAAGCTTCAAAAAGAAAAAAAGAAAACTTCCTAGGTCCTCAGGAAGTCTAAGGAGATTTGTCCCCCAGACAGAGGGGATCTTTGTGGAATATACCCTCTGCTGCACTCAAGGTGGGAATCACCTGTTTGTCTTTTGTCAAAACAAGTTTATCTTCTAGCTTAGTGTTATTGTGTTGTTCTTAATTGGTTTGATGGGCTTTATTTTGTGATTCTAGGGATGAGCCAGGGTTTGCAACTACTAGGCCGTCAATTTCGTTTTGCATTTCAACATACTATCTGGATCTGCAGCAAACTTGCTTGGTTTACTTCTGAGAAGGCAGGGTCCTGACACATTATTCTTTACTAGCTCCCTTTTTCTGTCTTCCTTCCAGTGTGTAGCAGCCTCTAACCTGTTCACCCTTGCCCAGGAGGGTTGGGGAGCAGGGAAACAGGACATCTGAGACTTGGCAACACTAATCTTACTTACTAAACAGTGCCTTAGATCACACCCTACCTTCGAATGATATCCACCTTACCAAAGTTCCCTGCTCAGGGCAGCGTATGCCTTTTATATTAATTGCCTGTAAGGAGTGGAGAAGTCGAGGTTCACCTATTAGAAAGTGTTCCCTGTGAAATTCTAGGGGAAGACTGTCACTTTTTAGAGTCATACTCAGAATAACTTTAAGTGAAAGCAAGTTTGTCATCTGTCACTTCCATCCAAGACTAAGATTTTCTTCACATAGTTCACAAATTCCTCCTTGCAGTGTTACCACCACAGCCCACCGAATGTTAGGTACACCTCATGAAGCCAGGGGTCAGCTTCACATTGCTATCTGTCTTGCTGTTATGAGTTATAGCAAGTGTGCTTAGTAGCACTCTGTAGTGAACATTCACCAAGGCTGTTACAGCACTTGGCTTGAGGCGCCACTCACACTCAAGTGAATCGTAGTGTAGGTCTCATTGCAGATGGCTTTGCAAGCATATAGACTTGACCCACGTGCTAACCAGTATTATGATCTTGATGTGAAACTGAACTCTGAACTGTTGGATCGTTTTATGGTACCTGGTCAGGCTAGTTCTCCTCTGTAAGTCCAGGCCTCCACTGGCCATCTTGAAGGAGAAGCCCTTGGAGATCTTAGCAGCAAGAAAGCCCCTTTGCACCACTGATATTGAAGAACACCATCAAGGTCCAGGGCAGACCACCAGACAATGCTCAGGTCAGCGGTTCATAGCTTAACCCAAACTCTGCCCAAGGGTGCTTCTACTGAGCAGCCTTGCACCGAGCGCACCTTCTCTGGCCTCAGGAAGACAGGGCTGCTGAAGGCAGATCCCCAGTCATATGCTGGAAGTAGGTACAGCATTCTGAGGGGTTCTCATCTCTTACACTTGTAAGTTTTCCCGTTGCCTGATTTCTCTCCCCCCTCTCCCCCACCATTCTCCTCCTTCCAGCCCTATAAGCAGTACAACATGCTGAATGCAGACACCACCCGCCACCTCATGGTTTGTTTCCTGTGGATCATGAAAAATGCTGACCAGAGCCTCATCAGGAAGTGGATCGCTGACCTGCCTTCCATGCAGCTCAACAGGATTCTAGACCTGCTGTTCATCTGTGTCTCCTGTTTTGAGTACAAGGCAAGTGTGGGGTGTCTTAGCTCTTTCAAGTCTGTTTTCTTACTCTTCGCTTTGGGGTTGGCAGCATCTTCCATCCTTCCTACTCTGTATTACAACCCACAGCCTGTTTCATCTGCAGATATGAACGCTCAGCATGGAAAGAACGTCTGCCTATTGCAGTGGGCCCGTTCCTGCCAATAAAACTTTATCCATAGGAGCTCCCGGAAAAGTGTCTGTGGAGTATATGCCTAAACTCCCCACCATGAGCTGACATGTTCTCTTTTGACAAATCTCTCTCTCCATAGAGATCCCACTAAACCAAATGTGTTTCTACCTCTGTCCTTCCAGGGAAAGCAGAGTTCTGACAAAGTCAGTAACCAGGTCCTGCAGAAGTCAAGAGATGTCAAGGCCAAGCTGGAAGAGGCCCTGCTCCGTGGAGAAGGAGCCCGTGGGGAGATGATGCGCCGTCGCATTCCAGGTGTGTGGGAGGTGGGGGGTAGTCCTCCCATCTGCCACACAGCTCTTCACCCTTGGACATCACTCCTGAGACAGCAGGTTCTGGGACCCTGCACTTGTCTTGTCAAATGTTTGTTTTCCACCTCTGAGGGAAAGAATCACCCTGAAAGTGTCCCCAAATGCTGTGTTTTAATTAAGATTTTACAGTAAGTTGAAGGCCATATCTAAGAACGTGGTTCATGGATTAGGGAAGAAGCGCTGTCTCCCTTGTTTCAGAGCCCCTCTAGAGGACATGATCAATAAACTGGAGGGCTCTGCAGCCCGCGACCATATCCCTGAGTGATTCAAGATGCTACTGCATAGAACAGTCTCCCAAAATGAGTGCCAGTGTACCATCGTCCTGGGGGCCCCCATGACCCAAACACCTGCACTCATCACTTTAGTATTATTAATATGATGAATCCTCCCAGGAAAACAGGGACAGGTGGGCGTGGACTCTGGAGGGCACTCAGCACATTCACCTGACACCCTGCCTTTCCTTCCAGCAAGTCAGGGAGCCTCACAGGAGCCCCTGCCCAGGAGAACTATGGAAGACAGACGTCTATCAGAGCTGCCTCCAGTTCATCCAGGGCAGGTCACCACAGATAGGCATGTCGGCTCTGTCCCCTCAGAGCAGTACAGGCTCCGATGAACAGGAGACTGTGCTGATGCTTCTCAGCTAAGCTGGCACCCGACTTTTGGTTATCTTATAAAGGGTTTCATGCTAATCAAATTCCTGTCATGTGTTTCTTAACTCCCAGGGACTGACCGGTTTCCAGGCCTCAGTGAAAATCTGAGGTGGAGGAAAGAGCAGACACAGTGGCGGCAGGCTAACGAGAAGCTGGACAAGTGAGTCGCACTGCCGTCGCTCTGCACTGCGTTCACTAACAATCTTAACTCTTGTTCCCAGGCTACTTGTGTTACTGGGACAACTGCATCCTTCCGAGGGTAATAAGAAAAGGAAACATACTGTCTGTGTAAATACAGCTCCAGCTGCCCAGGATGCCCAGAGATAGAAGAAGCTGTGGCTTCAGCTCTTAACAATGTATCCATAGTTTAAAGAAACCTAGTTTCCACAGCCCCAGTTGATGAAAGCAACTTGTGAGGAACAGAGAACTTGAGAAAGCAGGACCAGGTGTCCAGCCTTGCAACTCCGCATCTGTATTTCCATAATGAAAATGGGTGCAAAGATGGATATTCAGAGATATTTATAGTAGCCTTGCATTTTATTGTTCCAAAAATCAAAATATATTTGATTTTGGAATACATTTGATTTGATTTGATTTGATTTGATTTGGAAGTACATAACAAAGTACTAGCTTGTTACGATGTTATGAAGTCATTAACTGAACAGGACAAATGCTCGGTTTTAGAGTATGCTCTTTAATCTCCAATTACATACAGCAGCCGCATTTGTAAAACTCCACAAAGAAATTTACCAAAACATTAATAATGATCTTTGGGCTTTAAAAATATAAGTGATTGATATTTTCTTTTTCACACTTCTTGGGTTTCCTACATTGGGTTTGCATTTATCTATTATAATTAGAAAAAATGCAAAAAAATGAAAAATAATATTGCTTGAATTGCAACATATACCGTGTGTGTGTGTGTGTGATATCTTAGTTTGCTTTCAATTGCTCTGATAAAAACACTTATGACCAAAAGCAACTTGAGGAGGCCAGGGTTTATTTTATCCTATGATATACAATTCATCGAAGAAGAAAGTCAGGGCAGGAACCTAGAGGCAGAAACTAAAGCAGAGGGCGTGAAGAAACACTGCATATTGGCTTGTTCCCCGTGACCTGCTAGCCTGTTTTCTTCTATAACTCAGGTCCAGGGGGTGCCCTCTAGGCAAGGTGGTAGAGGCAGTGCCTCAATTTTGAGATTTCCTCTTCCCAGATATCTCCAGGTTTGTGTCAAGTTGACAGAAACCAACCTGCACATGTGTATATGTGTATGATATATCAAAGAAGAGAGAGAGAGAGAGAGAGAGAGAGAGAGAGAGAGAGAGAGAACAATTTAGACGTATGAGCACTAAAGCAAAATGTGTGGGGATAGATAATGTATGTCTCCTCTACCTCTAAGCCATTAGGTAGCCTCATGAATCTCAGATTCACTGAGCAAAACACTGAATGGTTCAAGACCCCACATATACAACAAAATGTGGATAGTACAGCTTCATTGTATCTGAAGTGTTCATCAAGGGGAGGGATGAGAAGACTTGAATAACAATGTTTTAGTAAATAAATGTTAACGTCTTCACCATTACTATAGAATATCACATCCTAGTCAATCTGTGGGACTCTGGGGAGGAGGGGTCAAAATACCATATATCTACTATATATTTTCCTAGAAACAGTTTAATGATTATTTTTGAAAAGTATACCAAATAATCTGGTAGCCCATAGCTTCTTAACAATGAAGGATGCTCCTTGTGCTAGTCAGTGTATCTAATGCCAATTTCATGGTGACAGCTTTTCCACCAAGCAAGAATGTGCTCTTCTGTGGCTTAGAAGGGAGAACTCCATAGCTGGTCAGTCTAAAGATACATGGAGAATCACATTGTTTACTCAGGTGTCACGTGGGAGCCCCAGGGGTTGTCTTATTAATAATGCCCCTTTGCTTAGAAGACTGGCTCACTCTGACCTCCCTAGCTGGTGTTTAAGAACTTTGGTTCTCTGTCAGTACATTTTTGCACCCGGTTTCAGGGAGGAAATACGGATTTGCAGTTACATGGCTAGGCACTTGGCTCGGCTTTCTCTTTTCCTCTCTCCTTGCCTGATGTTCTCAATCCTATGGGAGGTAACTGGTGAAGACAGTGTGTGACGCAGGAGGCCCAGCGCCACATCGATGGTTAGGTCATCTGCTGCACAAGATCGAGACAGTACGGCAAGCCGTGTTTGGCTGGGCTGTGTGAATTGCCTTAGGAGGCCTTTCCCGTTTGCTGACATCAGCAGTCTTCACTGTGATGCCAGTTCTCAGCACCTCCGGCTCCCAGTGGGCTGCTCATTATCAGAGTGACTGATGACCCCTCAGTCCTGCAGCCAGGTGGCAAATTAGAGCTATTTGGAGATGTTATAATTTTTAGATGACAGCTTCTGTCATTTTCTCTTAGGTCTATTTTAATTTTGGTTAGTTTGACTGTTTCTTTTAGAGCAGTAGTTTTTAACCTGGACTGCACAGTCAAATCTCTGGCTGTGTTCGAACTCACAAGGTCCACCTGCCTCTGAGTCCTGAGATTGAAGGTATACCCCACACACACCCAGCAGCTACCCTCTGCCAGTTTGTTCAGAACTTCTAGGTTAGTCAAGCTTTAAGGTGACTGTGCAGACAAGTCTGAGCCACACTGGTAGGCCTCCCAGGAGGGGTGACAATTTTGCATGACAGTCTGAATTACTTACTGCTACTAAGCTATACAGTTAAAGTGACTAAGGTGGTAAGTTCTATGTTACATGCATCTTATCACAGTTCTGAAAGCCGGTTGGGACTGGATGTACTGTCCGTTACGGGTTCCACTAACCACATGCAGTCAGTTCTGAAGCCTGAAGCACGGCCGTTTCATATCGAGATGTAGAATAAATAAAGCTGCATGCAAGATTGCACATTTCAGCATTGATCTTTATATCTGTGACTTATTAACAGTACTTTTGGTGTAGTGGCTTAGATAAAATATGGTAAAATATTAATATCGGGATGGGAGCGCTGGCCCATGCCCTTCATTCTGGTGCCCAGGAGGTTTGAGGCCAGCCTGGTCTACATGGTGAGCCTGGAGTTGCAGGACAGCCACAGTGAGACCTTTCTAAGAAAAAGAAAAGAGGAAAAGTAATAAAGTAATGCCTTCAATTTCATTTTATCTTTTTTTTTTTTGGTGTGTGACTATCATAATAAGTAAAATAATGCACATGGCCCCTAGTACATTTCTACTGGACAGTGTTGATAAAAGTGTGTTTTTTGGTTAGGGGATTGCTGTTGTTGTTGTTTTGATTGTTTATTTGTTTGTTTGGTTGGTTTGTTTGGTTTTATTGGTTATTTTATTTATTTATATTTTAAATGTTATCCCCCTTCCCGGTTTCCCCTCGGCAAACCCCAATCCCAAACCCCTCCCCCCTGATTCTATGAGGGACCTCCCCCACCCACCCACTCCCACCTCACCGCCCTAGCATTCTGGCTCCAGAACTCACTATGTAAACCAGACTGCCCTCAAACTCCTGTGTGCCAGCATATATCACCGTGCTTGGCCCAGTGCTGTAAATTTAAACATATCAGTAAATTAATAAAAAAAAAAAGCTTGTATATTTCTTTATACATATATTGTCATTTGTAGAGTGAGGGGAAGTGTTGTCAAACAATTAGGACTAAAGAATCTATCCTAATTGTGAAATCAATTAAAAACACCTTTCTAAGCACTCAGTGTTATATACACAACTATTCCTGGGTAAGAAAGAAGAGAACAGCTATGTGGATAATCCTGATCTAAGACATTTGAACTGATAGTGTAATACCCCAGCATCTGTGGCATCATCTTAGCCACTGGAACATATTGGGAAAGTCAGGGTTTTTCATACCTCTCCTTAAAACTAAATTTGGATGGTTAAAAAAAATTATAGTAATATGTTTTTATCTACAGACAATACAGTCCAGATATCCAAAGCCATAAGTGGTTCCAAAACCTTGTCTACATTTCTATGAAATGTGCCAGTTAATCTGGTAACTAAGGCAGCAATTCAGTAAATAACATGTAGGTGGCATTACAGCATGCGTACACTGGGCAAAGCAATAATCCATCACTTGACAGGGTGAACTATGACAGCATGCTGCTCAGAGCCAACACAGTGTAGAGCCAACGCATTGTTTATTCTGGAGTCTCTTCTTCAACTTCTCACCAAATGATTTCAGACTCTAGCTAACTATGGGTAACTGGACCATTGAAGGCAAAGCTTTAGGAGAGAACACTTTTCTCCCTTTCTGGCATCCCTTGTTTTATGAGGATGGATGGGCTAGTACATAGAGCACACCAGCTCTTTAAAATTAAACCTCTTAGTGACTTCTGTTTCCTGCCAGGTAGCATCCAGTCCAGTAACCTCCAGCAGAATGTTTGGTGCCCCACCCCATGGGTCGTGAGCCTCACCTCCCACTGGAGAAGGAAGGCAGTTCTCAGTCTTAGCTAAGCCGCCTTCTCTCCTTCTCAGGAAGACTTTGAGAAGTAAAGAGCTGGTCCTCCCTTTTCACAGTTCCATCACTGTTCGTCAGTGTTCCCCAAGTTCTAGTGACATCCTGTCTCTCTAGCATGCTGCAGCTCTCTCCTGCATCCCATAACCACCCATTCAGATCCAGATAGCACTCATGTGAGGCCCTGAGGCTTTAAGCAGCTGTTAGGCTCACCTAATTGTTAGTAGTAACTAATAATTAACTTCTTGACCCATTTTGTTATTTGTATAATTGCCACCATTATTAATAACTATGGGGCTATGGATGACCTGGAGACTTCACTAGACCATCTTCCCAACCCGACTGGAATCTCAGGAAACACCTGCTATCCTTGGATACATTGAGGTGGCCGCTTTGTGTGAATTGATGGTTGACTTTTGTAAAGACTCCTTCATGACCTGATGCATTGGTTGTCATCTCTGGCACCTGGCCAAGCTGTACCGTGCTTTAATTGGTGACATCCTTTTTTCATTTCTTAGAACAAAGGCAGAGTTAGATCAAGAAGCCTTGATCAGTGGCAATCTGGCTACCGAAGCTAATCTGATCATACTGGATATGCAGGAAAACATCATTCAGGTGAGGATGGCACACTCCCCATCTGGCCAGCTCACGGGTGTGTTTCTTGGGATCACAAAGGGAATTCTTCATTCAAAATTGAGAAAGGCCGGGCAGTGGTGGCACATGCCTTTAATCCCAGCACTTGGAAGGCAGATGCAGGTGGATTTCTGAGTTCGAGGCCAGCCTAGTCTACAGACTGAGTTCCAGGACAGCCGGGGCTACACAAAGAAACCCTGTCTCAAAAATAAAAAAAAATAAAAAAAAAATAAAAAATTGAGAAAGACAGGACCATGAGTCCAGAATGCATTTTTAGAACTAAAGTGGGAACGTTTGGAATTTGCAGCAGTGCCTACCTTGCAGATTCCAGACATGCCAGGCATCCTCTGGCTTTTCTGACTTGCTACTCCCTTGGAGAGAGTTAGATGTTTGAGGAGCTGACCCTCAAAGTTACCCTGGCCCAAGCACATGCTAGATTTATAAAGGAGACAGAGGGCTTTTAGCCGAGCACCTGCAAGAACGTTGGTAACTAGATTTCTTTTGGTAGGTCAGTTCCATCTGGATAATGCACTAGCTAGGGTAGGAGTCACTGATAACATGGGGGAAATGGGAGTCCCCTCTTGGGGTTTTTAGTCTCCTTAATAAAAGAACTTAAGGATGGACTGAAATAGAAACTGAAGGACAACTTTATTAGCATTTTAAGGAAAAATCTCCAATGCTGACAAGCTGTCAGTCACAGCGGCTGCTTGGAGGAAGAGCATGAAGGAGAAAAGGAAGGAAAGCTGTTTCATCTAAGCTGGCATAGACGTGACAGATAAGAAGTCACGTGGCAGGGAAGGGAGCCCAGAATGCTGGCAAACCCCAAAGTGTTGGGGGAAAGTATGACTAGAAAAAGAAAAAAAAAACAATAAAGAGGATAATTTACTTTTCTGAATAATGTAGAAAAGCAGACAGATGTACAGTTTGTGGCATTGACCCAGTAAGCTACTGTGCTGGGGTGGGGATTCTGAGGAGAGGAAGTACACTATTCCATTAAAGGATTATTTAGTCTCCCCATCTCCTTAGCATGGCTTACGGTGGAGCTGGTACCCTGTGGGTGGTCCCTTGGCCAAGTGATTTACCATCATAGCTAGATGTTAGGCCTTCATACAAGCCAGAGACTATATTCTCTTAGCCAGAAGTTTTCTCTTAATGGGTCTTTATTTTTGCCCTAACTTTATGATTGCACTGGGTTAAAAAACAGTGCTAAGTGTGACAAAAGGTATCTGTTTTGGACTTAGATTGCTGAAGGATAATCATGTGTCCCATAAATTTGCCATCCCTACCGTAGGAAAGTACCAGTCAGCCCTCCATTGCAGTGGTTCCACATCTTTAGGCTTAACCAACAACCACTGATGGAAGATACTTCGGAATAAAACTACATCTGCACTGAACATGTGCATACATTTTAGTTTCCTATGTTGTTCCGTAAACAGAAAATCAATGGTTGACATGATGTTTCAGTGTGGTGTTAGATACTGAAAGTAAGCTAGGGATAATTTAAAATACATGAGAGAATTGTCGATTATATATGCAAACACTACCCCCTTTTATATGAGGGACTTAAGCATCCAAAGATGACTCAAGTATCTTTTGAAAGTTTTTTAACTTCAGTACCCTAAATATTTATCATCACATTGATGGTATCTTTGTACTAGCTGTTTCTGAGAGCAATGTACCTGATACCCAGACTCAAAATGATTTGCAGTTTCCTAAGAAAGTTGGACTATAGAAAATACTTTTATTATTCTTC